TTATAATAAATTTAAAAAATGCATTAACGCACAATAAAATAATTGTTGGCGTTAATTAATGAATGAGTTAATGCAAAATTAACGCGTTAACTTGCCCAGCACTAATATATATATATATGTATACTGTATATGTATGTATATATAAAATCCACCCAACATGTCACCAATTGAGCCCTGTTATTGTGAAGCAGCAGCAGTATAGAAATGTTGGCTTGGCGTCTCTATTAAGGCTGCAGCAGTGTGAGCAGTAAACTGTGAGAGCAAATATCAGCTCTTTGAATTCTTTTGAATCCTCTGTGTTCAAAGGCAAGGTGAAGTCCCCAAAGAAAACAATAATACTGAGAATACAGTATTATTGATCAGAACCTCTTCCCAGTGTACTCCATTATCTTTTCATTTGACCGCACCATGCCTGACAGCCAGTTCTTCTGTAAGCAGTCATTCTTATTCTACAGGGTTCAGAATCTGCCAAACAAGCTGGTGAAAAAAGTCACAGCAGATGTCAAACCCACTGGGTACCAAATCAGTATTGTCTGTCACTCCCAAATCTGTCTCATTCAATTCTCTGGTTTGGATTAAAGCTTTAGTTTGTTTTGTGCCAACTCCTAGTTTTGTCATCGACAAACGTCCATATACCAGATTTAAATTTGCTCGGGCTCTTCATATTGCCACCACACAAAATCAATTAGTTTGTTCCTCCATCTAGTTTATTTTATTCCTGCTCGGGGGAACGTCGCCTGTTTCCTTCCAAGTTCTCTCTCCCAGTCTGGGGGAGCTGCGTTCAAAGCACTCCGGGAAATATGCGTGGGGGGGGGGGGGGGGGGGAGAGAGGATGGGAAGCTGGAGAAAGAGAGACTGCCTCGCCATGGGGGAATAGACAAATAGAAGAGATCCGCTGGCTGCTTTGAAGCCCTGCAGCCTGCCTCTCCTCTCTCTATCTCTTTGACATTCATGGCGAACAGTTGAGAGTGGAGGAGCATGGGGGATTCCACTGCCAGCCAACCAACACTGAGCCTAATTAAATAGTTGCCTAAAGACAGAACCCCCCGCCCTCCCCCTCCTCCCAACTGGGAACAGGTGGGCTCAGGCAGACACTGCTGCTTGATGTGTGTGTGTGTGTGTGTGTGTGTGTGTGTGTGTGTGTGTGTGTGT